GATTTAAAATTAGTCTTCAGTTAACTACACAGCTGTGTATGTGAAACTCCAGTGGTAACAGTAGTTCTTTAATAAATTGGCAAACATTTCCTTGACTGAACTTGTCCCTCTGCATGCTGCTTTTAATATTCCTTACTCATCTTTGCCAGTCTACTTTCATTACCTTAATTTTTTCTGGTAAGTAAGATCCAGAGGAACTTCTCAGAAGAATCTTCATGTGTAGATCCCTCCAAGTGCTGACACATGTTGATGTGTACCTCTCAGTGGATTTGGATGTTACTATTCAGTATTTTGTGATCTAGAATGAGTTCCTAAATTCTGATTGCTTACACCATCTCTTTTGAACTACATATGTATGTCAGGTACAGAAATGACAGGTCTTATGATTTTAATTGGCACCTGAAAAGGTGTATAGGTTTGTTGACTGTCACGAAACTAATCTGCTTACTGTGATATTACTGCTTCACATGCCATGGTTTGCCACCAGTGTGAGTGTTTTAGCACAGACTCACTCTCAGACTCCTTCACTTGCAGCAGCATTTAGAAGATCGGTCATATCTATTGTTTTCTCAGGTCCGTAGTTTTGATGTTTGTCAACAGTGTCATGGAAATATTATAAGGGAGTTTTACTTTGTTTGACCTACTTTTTATCACATACACACACCACCCCCAGACACCTGAAATTTATAAAAATGGGTTTTTATTTTTTATAAAAAGGCAAGTTTGGGTTTTACAGGTGATGTAGTAATTCTACACTGTAAACATTAGGCTAATTAAAGCGTTCAATTTGACAGGTCCATAAATACCAGTTGTCCCAGTTCACATTGTAGTTGGTATTGAGTTGTACCTCAGAATAATAGTTTAACGCACATTTATCCTACCAAACATTTCTCTGACTAACTTCTACATGCAGAGATTTTAAAGATCAAAACTCATAATGCGTTGAGCTGATGATTTTTTCCAAAGTTAATGCAAGAGTTTTCAAACACATTAGACATTGCAAATGTGTTGCTGTTTAAGGGTTAAATGTTCTGTGGGATATGCTGCAGTAAAGCATATTTTACATCCAAAGACAGACATCTAAGCCTGTTTTTATTACAACCCTTAACAAGAGGCCGCATTCTGATTCATGGCTGTTGTATTTTGGCACTATCTGAAAGAAGTTGGTAATTACATTCCTATAAGAGCTGTTCTTCACACTGCCAGACTTAAAAAAAATGCAAACACCCAAACCCAAAATACAGCTCATACTTGGGCTTTGGACAGTTGTTACTACCTGGTGCTGTTTCTGCCACTCTTCAAAGGCTCTGCAGTGACTTGGAAAGGAGATTAAAGGGTTCTGCCTGCCCTGCCGGCTGCCCTGCAAGGAGACACATTATGATGAGGCCTGCTTGTTTTTCCATGAAGAGAACAGAAGTTGTCTTTTTCTAAAATTGTCACTTCAGTTTAATGTAAATAAAATATGAAGGACAGAAATAGTAATTAAAATTCGGGAAGGCTTGAAGGGCACTAGTGTTTTGATTGTTTTTTTATTATTGTTACTACTATTTTAGGTTATTATTATTTTAGATAATCCTGCCTAGTTATGTTAATTCCTTGACAAAGTGTAATTTTTTCCTTTATTCCTTAGAAATGTAATAGTATCTTACATATGTCACCCTTAGATTAAAATTTCTAAAGGCTGCGCTGTTCTATAAATCTGCAGAAAATCAGTGCAGTTCAGTTGGTTCTACTGAAGGTTTCTGCCCAGCACCCCATTCATCATCTTTGCACGTAGCAATCCCTAACTAACTCTTTGAGATAATTTGAGCGAGGATTTTTTCTTTTTGCATCTCATGTCCAAGAGAGCATTTTAGCAGGACTTTGGAAAACAAAGGTTTTGTTCTTATTTTCTACTCAAGAAAACTGTGTTGAAGTGTGCTGGTTTAGAAGGTCAAAGTATGGCTTTTCTCCACTTTTCAGCAGAAGGACAAAATATTTAGTGCTTCCTGAAATTGGATTCACATTAACACTAAGGGTAAGACCTTTAAAAAAAAAAAAAAGAAAAGAGCTTCTTGCTTTTCCCCCTTTTCGTAGGAAAATTGGAAATCTTGTTCTTATGCATATCTTCAAATAGCTCATAGTCATTTAGCCAGCTGGGATGCGGATTCTTCATGCTGTCATTGCAGGGCACGAGAAACAAAATGATTGTTGTATTCTGCCATGAAAATTATTTCTAACTGAGCAGCTGTAATTAAGAAGGTGTTACTACACATGGGCGCTGTGCTGCAGCTGCAGCAGAGTTCAGCCGTGGGCCAAAAGCACTTGCTTTCCTACTGACATCAGTGTGGGCTACAGATGAAAACTAACGTGGCAGCGGCTTGGAATTTCCACTTTCTTCTTTATACGCATTACAGATTAGTTTCCCCAAGTGTTCATGTGCTTTTAAATAGAGAAAAACCTCCCGTTTCGGAGTATATGAAAGAAAGCTCTGTCTTGCAACAGCTTTCCTAGGATTCTCTTTTTAATAAACAGTTCTTCATGCAGGACACAAGTCTCCCCTACTTGCGGAGTTTATCTCTAATTAATTATTCAAGGTGAAAGTCACAGCAGCAAGGAGATTGCTATCTGCAGATAAGTTGTGAGTCTTTGTAAGAGAAAAGAAGTGGGCTGGCATCGGTGTTGTTTCTTTCATGCTTGGTGTTCAAGGGACTTTAGTCACTGCTGGTTTTCTGTAGGTGAGATTACTGCATCTTTGGACTTTCTTTCTGTATCTAATATCTATATTTTATGTGTTACTTGTTTCTGTATATTAATTCTCTTTTTTAGGAAGTTCACTACTAAATAACCAGATTCTGACATTGATAGGAGCTTCTCTTAACAAGCTGCTGTTGTTTCAACCCCCATTTCCTGGCTGACTCTATACTGTATTTCTGTGACAGCTAGCAAAAAAAAAAGGCACACAAAGGGGACGTGGCATTGTCTTTATTCTGTGTTTTAGGTAAAACTAGTAGTTTAACAAACCCTAGGCTGAGTGCTGGACTCGCATTGCTATTGTTTGCTATCCACAGCAGGCTGTGAAGCAATATAGATTGTAATTCAATAGACTAAGAGCAGGAGAAGCGCGGTGCCTTCTAATGGAAAGGTAGAGGAGAGAGGAAGAGAAGTTGTGTCACAGCAAGCCAGTGAATTAAACTGAAATAACAGGACTAGGTCTTAGCCTTCTGATGTATGAAGGATACAAAATAAAACGCCTCTGGTGTGAATTACAGAATTCTCACCTCGTCTTGAGCACAAGTTCCAGAGATCTGCTGGAAATGAAAGAAATTAAAAATAACAGCAGTGAAGGTGGCGGTGATGTGGCCTGATTTGTGTATGAAAGGAATAACTGTTTCAATTCTTTCTGCTTGCAAGAACGAAAGCCAGGCGCATACCGCAGCCTGCCCTGCTTGCTTTACAGGTAGTGCTGCAGAGCACTGTTTTTCCAGGGGCAAGAGCTGGCCACTGGGTTTGCATATTTTTACAGCAGTAGCAGCTGCTCGCAGCACATCCATCTTGTGTCACTTGCGTTTCATACACTGGCCTCTGCACGGTCAGAGGCCTGAACTGCATTACAGCAGACATCAAAATTCTGCAAGCAGAAGTGATTCTCTCCTGCCCCCCTTCTCCACCCCCTTATGCCAATGGTAGTATCTTTCATGCCAGTGTTTATTTTGTGGGAGATGATAAAACATGGTCTAACATTTGGCAACAGCCTGTTTTTTCCCTTCCTGTCTGCCTTCCTCCCTTCAGTGAAATGAAGCATTGGCAGAAAACTGAGGTGACTGAAATGTTGTGCAATAGAATACAAGTAATGGGTGTGAGAAAATTGCTACTAAGTCAGTGGGAGCTGGGCTGCCCTTGAGACAAAAGAGCCTTGATATTGAAAAGATGCCTAATAACACTGTGTAATAAAAGGCACGTTGTAATGTGGCAAATGTAATGCTCTGCCCTTAATACTAATACAACATGAGGGTGAATGAAGATTCATTATTTTGTTGAGCATTTGAATTTGCTTTCTACTTTGCATGCTAGCTTTGCCCTTTCTGAAACTATATCCCATCTAAAACATACTTAAATTCCAAAGAACTGCAAAGGGAGGCGGAAATTAGTCATTTCTGGACTGATGGCTGTAACCATGTTTTCATACCCAGTTATAATGCAGAATTGTTAGCTTTTCACCGTGTGTGTAAATAGATAAGAACTTTTAAAATATGTCTGGGCAAAGCTGCTGGTTGAGTTTTCAAGGTAGGCTGGAGTCTCTTAGTTTCTGACAGGTGGTGAGGGCAGGTGATAATGGGCACCTAACTCCATTCAAACACCTTTGAGAGCTTAAGGTTTGTGGGTCCAAATGTGTTAACAAAACAAAACAAGATGCCTGTGTGGATGCATTTGCAGTTTCATGTTCTTTCTGGATCGTAGTCAACAAAAAGTAGTATTTATGAATGGAATAACAGAGTGCACCTGCTGTGTAAATACCACTTCCTTGCAGAGCTATATGATTACAATACACTCTTATTCTCTTTTTTCTGTTGGCTACAAGTGATCCCTACCTGCATGAGATCTGTGCCTGATTGCCTGAATCTTTTTTTTCCTTGTTTTGAGTTAAGAAATGCTGCCAAAATTTACACCCTGCGTAATGTGGAAGTAACTTGTTTTGAAATTGATGAAATGATCCCACATTTACTGTGACATGGTTTCATTCTTTAAATAAATACTAGAGTTCAGGAGCAATATTACTTCCTGATAAAATTTTAATTAATGCAAAAGTAGAAACTGTGGTATGTGTATGTTAGCCAAATACGAACTGCCAATTACCTCACCATTGTCAACACATCTATATTTGTACATTTACATTCTAACTTCTCAAGCATTTGCAGTTTTTATGTTTAAAAGAGAAACATGTTTTAAAACTTTGACTTGTGACTGAGCTCTCTGTAACTTGTATTTTTCCTTGACTCTAGTCTCCCTTCTCTTTTCAGTAAAGGGTTGCCTTCGAGTTCAACATTCACTTTAGAAGACAGTGCCATCTATTTGACTTCAGAACAGAGCACACTGGAAATGGAAAATGATAATGCTTCAGTTTTGGATGTGTACTTAGTAAGTTGTCAAGCTGTTTCTGATGGGCTTTTTTCACCCGTAATTCCTTTGACTCAGGCTCAATAAGTGGCTTAACCTCAAGATCCAGAGGTTCATTGAGGTATTTCTTGTACATATGCGACAAATACTTAAGTACCTTGTCAAAGCAAATCCTTCAAAAATCAATGTGCCTATTAACTGTTGTGTTAATAATGAAGTAGGCCAAAATGCCTTCTAATCTTTTTCTGTAATGGTAGTGGGTTTTCCCTCTTTGTTTTCCACAGGGAAAAAACCCCAACTCTTTCCTCTTCAGCAGAATATTCCACAATGTAGAAATTAAATTTTCTCAGACAAGAAAGTTCGGTGTTTACGGAAGTGATTTTGCAGGCAGTGTAGTAGAGCTCAATGTGAAGTACGTTAACAACTCCCCTTTCTGCTCTGAAGGGTTGTCCAGTTGTGGTGGCTGGAATATGATTTAAAAAGTATCTTTTCTTTGTTGTTTTGATTCCTAGTGAGCAGTTTATCTGACTGGTGAATGATAAGCTCAAGTCTACATCTTTGGTTGTCTTCATATCACCTGTATTTTTAAAATTCTCTTGGTATCTACAGCTCACATTTCACAGACATAAAGGCACCCAACTCCAGTTCCAGCTGAGTCAAGTTTTTGTGCCCTTCTAGGCCATTTTGAAAGTATAGGAGGGGGGTATGTTAAGTTTGACTGTTTTTTTCAAAGTTTCATTTTCCTAAAGCACAAATTAAACTATTCTTACATTATCCTAGTAATATTTTCCCTCTATTTTAATAAATAAACATCTGTGACTTTTGTGGTAAGGATTGTACTAGAAAGAATGGGTCAAAAAGGAAAGTGTTCTCTAAGTTTCTAGTAAGTGTTTCACACGGGCATGGTTGTTTCCTTTTCAGATGAGAGTTCACTGCATTCTTTACTTTGCTTATCTCCGGAGTTTCCTGATTTTTATATTAAGAGATCCAGCATATCATAGATTTATAGGACAGCCCAGGTTGGAAGGGAGCATCTGGTCCAACTTTTTCGTTGGGAAAGGGAGCCAGGATAAGATTATCTATCGCCTTGTCCCTTCGCATCTTGAAAACCTCCAGCAACCGGGACGCTACTGTATCCCTGTAGAGGTTGTTCGAGTGATTGTTTGTCCCGAAAAAAATGTTCTTGTGTTGAGATGAAACATGTTTGTCATATGTTTGCATCTGATCCCGAGTGCTTTCTCTGGAGGCTGCACCACTGATGTCTTTTATTTTAGTAAGCAGTGCTTGAGTATATACAGTGCCCACTTAATAGCTACTAATTTAATAGTCCCGGACACTTAGGGGAGTTGTTGGCTGCCTTGCCTCCACTGAAACAGGACAGTAGCAAGTACCAACTAGATGCAGAATTGACAGTTAACTGTGACCTCAAGTAGTCCATTAAATCAGCCTATTCCCGTAGGACTTGTGTTAATTGGACTTGATGTTAATAGGATGTTGACGTGAATCATCTATGAAGAGGAATTCACAAATCCTGAAACTTAATGGGAAGTAGTCAAATAGGTAATCACATGCAGCCCAACCTTGCTGTCAGATTTGCTGACTTAGTGAATTGTGCTTTAAACTAATGAATGTGATGGGTAGGATACAGAGATGTGACACCTGCTACTCAAAAGCAACAGGGTGGATGAGCACACCAACTGGAGTAGTGGGGAGTGCTGCCCAACCCTTTACAAAGGCAAGAACTCTAAGTCCAACCACCTCAGGTGTACTTAAAACAACACATGTTGTCGGGGCAGCAAAGAAGAGGAGCTGGAGCTCCATGGCCAGTTTAAGAATTACGATGTGACAGGAATTGCAGAAACTTAGTGTGAAGACTCCCATGACTGGAAGACCACAGTGGATGGCTAGAAACTCTTTCGGAATGATAACAAGGGAGGAAGGGGAGGTGAAATTGCACTTCATAAACAGAAGCTTTAGTGTATGGAGACAAGCTATGGAGACCACAAAAGTTCTGTTGAATCCTTTGGATCAAGATTAGACCATCACCAAGGAGGATCTTAGGTTAGTGTCCGTTAGGGACCTTCCAGTGGGGATGACAAGACTGAAGAAAGCTTACTTTGGCTGCACAAGGAATTCTTGAGCCAACAAAAGCTGAGCCTCATGCATGACTTCAATTCCCTAAACATTGTTGGGAGAACAACACAGTGGTGTGCAAGTTGTCCTTGAGATTCCTGGAACGTACAAAGACTGCTTCCTGCTACAGGTGCTGGACATGCCAACTAGGAACAGTACATTGCTACATTTATGGCTCACAAACCAAAAAGACATACGTGACAATAGTTTCCTGCTGGAAACTATTACGAACCAAACAAAGCAGGTGATGTGGTAATTCCATGCTGGATTTTCCCAAAGCAAACCATGCCAGGCTGACCTCATCACCTCCTCCAAC